CGCTGAAGTTTCTCGGAAGGAAATTTTACGGGAAGTTATCAAACGAGCAGATACATAACAATATTGTTGCGTCAGCGAGGCCATGTGACTAGTATCATGCCACCTGTTTTCTAGAAATATCCTGTTCCTTCGTGAATGCCCTATCATTTACTACATTGGGGGTAGCTGGTATATATAAGATGGGCACAACGTGACGGGACAGTGTGTAGTAGTGAGTAATTGAACTGAGTATTGTCGAACACGAGCACGTGAGAATTATAGCGTTTGTTACAGAGCGACTGTTGATGTTGAGTGTATTGTAAAGTTGTATTCGGAAAAAATAAACCAGTTTTATTTAAGAAAGGACTTGTGTCGCTAAAGTTTCGTCGGAACGAATTTACGGAAAATCAATTAACAAACGGAGGAGTAACAATATGGTCTACAGACTGAAGAAATGGATCTCACGTTGTGAAGCCAGATTTATTTTCTTTTTTTACTTCAAACGCTTTATTTGCATATTTCCCGTTTATTAATATTAGTTTCTAAAAATAAACGCAAAGCTGTTCCCATTTTCCTGGAATATAATGAGTCGTTTTTAATGTGTATATATAATCAATAAGTATATGATGCAATTTCAACCCCCAAGTATATATTTAAACCAATGATGCACTTTCATTCCCCCACATATTATATTTAAACCACTATAAGTTTGTGTCTGTTTTGTTACTGCACATCACCGTTAGCCCATTGTTTCGTTTATACAAACAAGCTAACACAACTAATTTATTAGTGTACAGCATCGTTAGCCCATTGTTTTGTTTGTACAAACAAGCTAACACAACTGATTTGTTACTGTACACCAGTGTTAGCCCATTGTTCTGCTTGTACTAGTAAACTAACACAACTGATTCGTTACCTCAACGTTTAAACAACAAAACGTACTCCTGAACAAGAAATGATGATGATGATATATATATATTCTAGTCATCTCTGTTACTGCTGAATTCGAAATGGGGAGCATTTGTTAATTGAACGTTTTGCATCTTTTTCTTTTTTTATTATTTCATAACTAATTTTTCTTTCTGTACTTTAAAGCTCGTCTACTAACAACAAAAGGGTCCAGATGTTATATTTAGGCCTTTCCGTAAAGAAAAAGTTGTTAACTTCAATTCCAAAATATACTTTCATCACTTGCATTTATTAAATACTTCAACCGAATTTTCCAAATTCAGTGGTTAGCCCAGAAAGAAAGCGAACAGTCAACCATATTGACATAATATATATATATATATCTTCGCGGTGGGAATGACCTCTAGTGGCTAGCATTCCAAGACTGTGGAGTTGAGGGTTCATGGTTCGAGTACGGTTGCTGCCAAACACACTATAAGAGTGACAGTCAGATAAGAACATCTCAAGCGATGGTTGTGGGGCGCTGTCTTCCTTCCAGTCCATTAATACATCAAATGGCATAAATCCAAAGTAAGGCTACAACAATTTAGCCACGTTTAGCAGCTAACCCTCTAGCGACCGATATATGCGTATACGTTTGAAAAAAACAACAACGTTGAAACGGTAGATAAAACTAAGGGAGAGAACGCTACTTTTGAGTAGACTTTGCATATAACAGATAGTTACAACGAAGTTGAATTTTCGTTAAACCTGTAAAAAACAGTGAAATTATTTCCAGGCTAACACCATAAAATAGAGGTACCCGTGATTATTAGTGGATGGGATAAGTCGTGTATTTGTAGAATATGCATATGGAAGATACAGAGAACATTTATAATAGTTAATACAGAGTATTATAAATCACCTTGTCTCTATTCAGAATATTTTCTTTATAATGAAAAATAAGTATTTGCATTATTTTCAGTAATATCATTTTTATAGGTGGCGCAGCAGATTATAGTTATACTAAGTTACGTCTGCTTTCTCTTGATGAAAAAGTGTGATATTAAAAACTTAGCTGAAATCCAACTTTTTTGATAACTCCAAAGCTGAAATTTATATTATTTCAAGATGGATAACACTCTTCATTTAACCGAGAGCAAATTTTTATTAACTCCCAATATGAAAGTTAGATTATTCCCCAAAAGTTGGCATCAATTAGTTAACGGAGATCTAATCTACATAAATATAATAGTACTGTCTGTTGTATGTCCATAGAACTACTTTGCAGGGTGTGGAAGGATCTTCACCAAAATTGGTAGGGAGGGTTCATGCGGGGGTACATACAAATTTTAAGTTTTGCATTTTGCGGTTTTCATGGGCATTCATTGCGTTTTTACCACTATTTCGGCCCCTGTTAATGGATCTTTACCAAATTTGACATGAAGGTTTGTTGGTTCCATGCGGGGATACATGCAAACTTGCGGTTTCACATTTTCTGTTTTGCAGTTTTGATGGGCGTTTTTTTACAATTACATATAAGGGATAACCTTTCGTAAATCATGAACTTACATAACTTCCGTCCAGGGGACGAGTACTCCAGCTATTTTATAATAATGTTACGTCTCCGTTTGTTAATTAACTTTCCGTAACTTCGTTCCGACAAAACTTTAGCGACACAAAGCCTTACTTAATAAAACTGGTTTATTCTTTCCGAATACAACTTTAGGACACATTTATTTTCAACAATCACGCTAAAACAAACGCTATATCAACGAACGTCAACAATACTGACTGCAGCTCAATTACTCACTATCTACACACACATTACATTATTCTCCCGTCACGTTGTCACCCTCTTTTATATACCAGCCTACCCTATATCTAGTAAATACTAGAGCATTCGCCAAGGTACGGGATAGTTGTAGAAACGTGGCGTCACACTAGTCATGTGACTCGCTGACGCAACAATAATTTCTAATATAAAAGTTAGATATTTTCAAAAAGGCCCAAAAGTTAGATATTTTTAAAAAGGCCTAAAAGTTAGATATGTTTAAAAAGGCCTAAAAGTTAGATATTTTCAAAAAGGCCTGAAAGCTAGATATTTTTAAAAAGGCCAATAAGAATAAAATCATTTATTTAACCGATATCCAGTTTTTAATAACTCCTAACAGGTCTGTAAAATCTCGTGTTTGGAGCCGTCCATTTAGAGAAATTGTATCAATTCCCAGGCAAAAAATATAACGTTGAAAGCAGCTTATAAAATGTGAATTGATCCAGCTAACTTTCAACAGAGAGTAATTCATGTTAAAAGGATTACCATTCCCTCCTCCGTTGGTGTTAATTAGTAGCTTACGTTTGTTTAAGTTTTTCTGTCCATGACCATTCACCATTCATTCAATTGTGATTCACTGCTTTAACGTTACAAGAATAATTATCTAGATACACTAGTCATCTTTTATTAATCAACTGATTGTGTAAAAGCATCGCTCTTCTGTATAGTGTTAAAAATATTTACTCTCATTAGTTGTGTGAGAACACTTTCCCTTGCTTCATTGTGTGAAATATTTCTCGTACTTGGTTGTGTGAAATATACCCCTCTTTTATTTTTGAATCATGTAAAAATATTTACCGTACTTGGTTGTGTGAAATATACCCTTCTTTTATTTTTGAATTGTGTGAAATATTTCCCGTACTTGGTTGTGTGAAATATACTCCCTCTTTTATTTTTGAATTGTGTAAAAATATTTCCCGTACTTAGTTGTGTGAAATATACCTCCTATTTTATTTTTGAATTGTGTAAAAATATTTCCCGTACTTGGTTGTGTGAAATATACTCCCTCTTTTATTTTTGAATTGTTTAAAAATATTTCCCGTACATAGTTGTGTGAAATATACTCCCTCTTTTATTTTTGAATTGTGTAAAAATATCTCCCGTACTTGGTTGTGTGAAATATACTCCCTCTTTTATTTTTGAATTGTGTAAAAATATCTCCCTACTTAGTTGTGTGAAATATACTCCCTCTTTTATTTTTGAATTGTGTAAAAATATCTCCCGTACTTGGTTGTGTGAAATATACTCCCTCTTTTATTTTTGAATTGTGTAAAAATATCTCCCGTACTTGGTTGTGTGAAATATACTCCCTATTTTATTTTTGAATTGTTTAAAAATATTTCCCGTACTTGGTTGTGTGAAATATACTCCCTATTTTATTTTTGAATTGT